CCTCAAACAGCCGGAAGTCCTGTCCCTGCTCGTCTCCCTTCCACTCGCCCCTTCACCGGCATCTCTAAAGGCCTGAGCCCTCCAACTCAACTTACAACTTGGCTGTTGCTTGGACTTCCCTCGCTGCCCTTTCAGCTTATTTCGCCCCATCTCAATCTTATCAGCACGTGCACACTCTACAGGAACCCAGTAGCCGAGGAGCACGCCTGCCCCCTGCAGAGAATCCACTAGGCAACTACTTACGTCATGGATTTCTGAACAAGGGATTGGCTGGCGCAAAGGTGGCAAAAGAAAAAAAAAAAATCCAGGCCGAAACTGATAATCTGGGGACAAGGCATTCACCCAAACCTTAACCTTTCCACATCCCGGATCTCCCAAACTTAATTAGAAACAGCAGTGCAGGAAGTTCCCTGCGCCTGATCTACAACCTTTCCTCCCCATGCGCTTTTCCAGGGGGCCAAGGCTGGCTGTGGGGAGGCTGCAGCGACAACGTGGGCTTCGGAGAGGCAATATCCAAGCAGTTCGTGGATGCCCTAGAGACCGGACAAGATGCCCGGGCAGCCATGAACCTGCACAACAACGAGGCTGGCCGCAAGGTGAGTCCTTCAGCCCCAGGAGTTGGGCAACTGGCTCCACCCACACCCTGTCGTAGGTGAGGGCGGCTCTTCGGTCCATTTAACAAGACGCGTAAGAGCAGGACGAAATGAGGTACCAGGCGAGCTGACCGAGCAGACTGGAGGCCTGCCAGCTCCCGGCGGCCGAGACTCCCCAGGTGCTCACCCCAGCTCTCTCTCCAGGCGGTGAAGGGCACCATGAAGCGCACGTGTAAGTGTCACGGCGTGTCTGGCAGCTGTACTACGCAGACCTGCTGGCTGCAGCTGCCCGAGTTCCGCGAGGTGGGCGCGCACCTGAAGGAGAAGTACCACGCGGCGCTCAAGGTGGACCTGCTGCAGGGTGCCGGCAACAGCGCGGCGGGCCGCGGCGCCATCGCCGACACTTTCCGCTCCATCTCCACGCGGGAGCTGGTGCACCTGGAGGACTCCCCTGACTACTGCCTGGAGAACAAAACGCTGGGGCTGCTGGGCACCGAAGGCCGAGAGTGTCTGCGGCGCGGGAGGGCCCTGGGCCGCTGGGAGCGCCGCAGCTGCCGCCGGCTGTGCGGGGACTGCGGGCTGGCGGTGGAGGAGCGGCGCGCCGAGACCGTGTCCAGCTGCAACTGCAAATTCCACTGGTGCTGCGCTGTCCGCTGTGAGCAGTGCCGCCGGCGGGTCACCAAGTACTTCTGCAGCCGCGCCGAGCGGCCGCGGGGTGGCGCGGTGCACAAACCTGGCAGGAAACCCTAGGATCTTCTCCACCCCCTCGTTTCCTCCTCTGCCCTTGGCTTCTTTTAGCGTCCCCAGTACTAGAGGAACCTACGGAATAGGGCCTTCGCAGGCCCAGGAACCCCGAGAGCTCTCTGAGCGCGCTGCTTTCCATCTTGTGCCCCCAATTCCTCTGCACTCTTTGGAGTTTTGTCTGAGCCACCCTCGCAGCCCACAGAGAGGTTTGAGAGTGTTTTGAGATGTTCAACTATGATCTTCGGATTAGGATGAGATAGGCATTCCTTCTTGCCCTCCCTGGCTGCACCATGGCCTGGCCTAGCCTCTCAAGCCTTAGGAACTGGCTGACCCCTTCTCAGATGCAGGCTCCTGGGACAGCCATCGCTCGTTTACACCGCTTCTTCCTTCTGCCCCCACTACAGGGGCAGGTTTCTACCATAGCCCCATCTTTCTTCCACAGCACCCCTCCTGCGCTTCTGATTCCCTGTCATTTGTTGGCAGCTGTGTGTCTTTGGTGGTAGGGTCCCAGAGGTTGAAGATGAAGTGGTAACCCTGGAGCACGGACTTGCTGAAAACCAAGGGTGTTCCCGGTCCTTGCAATGCCATGTCTCAAGTGAGTTACCACCGAACAATGGCCATTCTATAACCACCCACGGGGCATCAGACACTTAACCACAACGTCTGGGAACAGCATCAGGACCGATGACCTGTCACTGCCTGTCTTTTAAAGAAATTCCCTGCTCCTAACCCATTTTCTCCTACCAACTTAACCTTTTCTCCTGCCCCAAAGGATCCCTTGTTTCTCTGAGCCAAGACTAAATAAGTTGGCTAACTAAAGCCAATTTCTGACTGAGACCCTGACGTGCACCTCAGTAGGTGGGTTAGGGCCCTTTACTAACCCGGTTCTCGGCAGTCTCAGGCCGAAGGGCGCCACACATTTCTCCTCAGTAACTTCCTGCCATGATCCTGTTCCTAACAGGAAGTTCAGCACCTTGAGCCTTAATTTATTGCAGACACCGTGCCATGCCTGTTTTACCTCCAGTTATCGAACTTCTGTTCGGGGACAAAGCAGAGGGCAGGTAGAAGATGTCACCTGTTAGCATGCTTGCTTCCCTACAGCCTCACTTCCCCAGTGGCCTAAGTAATTATCTTGACCTGACTGAGGCTAAGCTGCCAACGATTAGTCAATCAGCCACATAAATCTCCCACTAATACACTCACTCTGTAATTAAGAGTTTGCTGCTTGCAGTGCCTGAGTCTCCTGATTCTCTTTCCGTGGAGCAGCCGTGGGCAGGGACTTAATGGTGAAAGGGGCTCTGGGAAGGGAAGCCCATTCCTGACAGACCCTCTGCCATCCACAGTATTGCCTGGCCAGCTCCTGGGTCTGGGTGCTGAGCATTCCTTCTGGAGAGGTGGTCAGATGCTACACCACCTCCCTCCACCTCTCCAGCCGAGGAAGAGTACAAGAGGTAACGAGGGCCTGCACTTTAGGTATAAGGCTGACGTAAGGACTCCATGTGACACACTGATACCGTCAGACCCCAGGCCCTGGCCTCACCCCAACACATCTTCTGGTCCTATTAGCACTGAGGAGAGAGGTTCCCCTTCCTTTCAGGAGCTTTCAACCCCCCCCCTTTTTTTTTTTCCACGGTCCCCTAGGGCTTCATTTCCAGCTCTATCAGCAAAAGAGCCTCAGCCTTGCTTTGGGGCTGGTGAATCCCCTGCCTGGCCCTCTTGCTTTAACTGAGCAGCAAGCAGATACTGGCCTGGCGGACAGTAAGCCGACCTGGCAGGCAGCTGGAAAGTGAAGCACAATGTGCGAAGTAAGGTGCACTCTCCAAGTCTCTCGGCGTACACATAGTCCGAGGTCGTGCTCCCTACCTGATAATGCCGAGTGGTAGGTCAGTACGTGTTGTGCTGCCAGAAAGACTCCTAGCTTCTGTTTTTGTGTTTCCAAATGGATGTGATTGCTACCAGATTCACCTGACTTCTATAAAGAAAACATCACTGAGCTACCTTAGATCTAATGTGCCTTTTTTCTACTTCTTGTATCACCCACTCACCCCTCCGTGCATTCCGCAAATGTGGCAGCGGAAGCAGCAGGAACATCATGCTGGCAGCCTCACTCACGGAGCTCAGGTTCCCCGGTGCCCCCTTACCAGGGCTGTGCCCTGCTTTACAAATGTGGACAACTCAAGAACAGCTTAGGAGGGGCTTGGAGATCGGCTAGTCCGACCGCTCTTTTTCACAGATTTAAACGGATGCTGAGAAGATGGCTGGCTTGTCCCACCAACTAACCAGTAAGTCTCCGCGGGGCCAAGACTGAACCCAGGCCCCATCCGTCCTCTGCGTGCTCTCGAGGAGCCCATCTGTCTCCACCTGAGGACGGAAGCAGAGGGAGCCCCTGAGAAGTGCAAGGACACTGGTGGGGGTGAGTGAAGCACTGGCTCCTTCCTGTCCCTGGCCCGAGAGCCTGCACACAGGCGGGGAGTTCTTTTCTTGAAAAGAATCCCAGCCTCAACTGGCCTTAGCAGCAGGCTGGGGCAGCGATATAGACAGGGTCGCTCGCTCTCAGCCTCTCAGCGCTGGTGGTGCTGGTGCTGGTGGGAGGGGAGGGCAGGCCAGGGCACTCGCCTATTGTGGGTCTGGATTGGATGCTTCCACTCATTCATTTCCTTTTAATTAACCCGCATTCCTGAAGGAGAAATATTTATGTTGGCTCCCATAGAGGCGATCCACAGACTGGAAAGAAGGGGAAAGAAAGTCTGCCTTAGCAAAACAATATCTCTAAAGAGCTCAAGAAGAGAAAATAAGAGAACAAAATGCCATTAAAATAGCCTTCTACCCCCACCGGAGTCAATGAAAACTTCATTTCACATGCTAATCCCCCACTCCGCCCCCTTCTCTTCTCACAACACCTTTTCCGAAAGTGTTTGGGAAAAGTCTTCACAGTCAGTACACAGCTCCCTGCAGCTCAGACTCCTCCTGGTGTTAGTTCAGGGCCCCAAGTGGGACTCTCGCTCCAGCAGCGGCTTTTTTCTCCCCCCCTTTAATTTAAACAAAGACTTCAGAGTTCATCAACCTCCCACTGAAATTCACAGCTGCTGAACAAACTAATCCTCTCTCCCGGCCTTTCTTTCCTTCAATGGGCTCTTGGCTTCAAAGACACTTTGGGAAAGGACTTTGCTGGGGCTCACACTGCTTCATCAATAGAAGTTAGTGCAAGTATTATCTGAAGAGCAAGTGGCTTTACAAACAAATACTGCCTAACAAGCCCTTCCTCCCAAACACACACATCTAGCCTGCAGACACAGGGATCTACAACAGGATTAGCGGTTGTCCCCCTGCCTCCACACCCAGCCCCTTTGTGCAGCTGAGCTCAACCCTGAAGTGGTGTGGGGGGACCCTGGAGCTGAATGCAAGGCAGGGAGGGACGGACACACACACACACACACACACACACACACACACACGGGCGTACGCGCGTGTGTACTCGCGCACTTGGCAAGATAACCTTGCAGCATAATTCAGACTCTCCTTTTTAAAACTCCCTTGACTCCCCATCTGCCCCCCAATTATCTCCCCCTGCCTTACTGGGGTACAGGGAGCCAGAACAAAGGGATGAAGAAGAGAGGTTATGTCAAATAGGACCCAAAGGAGGTAACTGGGAGATGATCGAGGAAACCAAATCAACACAACTTTATTGCACGTTAAACACATCAGTGCAGCAAATGCAGAATCCAACCATGAAAGCACAGACGGAAAAGGCAACCCTGAGACACGTGGGGGCGGAGAGGGGAGAAGGGCCTCCAGCTTTCCAGGAGCAGTATAGAGGAATCTTTGGCTAACATGGCCCCCTTCCACAACTGGGTTTATTATCGCAGAATAAATAATCCAGGGCCTTGGGCCACGGTCAGGGTGAGTCATGGGTTGCTCCCCACAGCACTGGCCCCTGTGCTCCTCTCTCACAGCCCTGCCAGCCCCAGCGAGTGGCCGTGCACACCCACCCTATGACCCTAGCCCACCCACGCTGGCAGGTTTTCAAAAGGACCAAAGTTGCTTCTCTTGGTACTGCTGGGAACCCATCCCTCAAGTCTGAGACATCTTTGAGTCTGTGAGCAACAGTCACCTTTACCCCAGGCTCCAGGATTCAGAGAAATAAGGAGCTGAAAATACGAAGTCAGACGCGAGGGGAAGGCCAGGTCAGGCTCGTAAGAAGGGGAAAACAGAAGGCCCAGACAGGCACAGCAGAGGTAGACTGAGGAGTAACAAGCCTGCTCACCTCCTCAGAGCCTCGGGCCCACAGTACTCTGGGAGCAGATACTGCCCAGGTGCCGTGGGAGTGCGCTGGGAGGCAACGTGGAGAGCTGGCGCTGCGCTGCTCCTGGGCAGGCAGACGGACCCCTGGGCCGGTTGACAAGGCCGGCACAAAGCAGGTGCTCGGCGATTTGGAGCCAAGCCTAGAGTATCACGTACCTGACAGCAGGGGAACGGGGTGGGGAAAGCAATCGGAATCTGTTTCGAAATACCCCTTTTCTGCAGGGAGTTGTTGAGTAACAGCAGAAGTGGCTTCCGTCAGAGAGGCTGCCTGGTTTAGATGTGCAGCTTAAGAGCAATGGTGAGGACGGCCTTCAGGACAGGCATGAAGCCGGAGACCTCGCTGAAGCTGCTGCAGCTCACCACCTGGGTGTGCACCGCCAGGCCCTGCGCAAAGCTTCCTGCGTTCACACAGCGGGCCACCTCATGGAGTCCGGCCAGCACAGAAGGCGAGAGCTGTGGAGGAAGGGTCTCAGTTAGTGAGCTCCCAGCCGCTCCCGGGCAGCGCGGGATGATGAGAGAGGACTTAAGTTCTGGAGCCCAGTTCCAATGAGATATGTGTATTCTGCGGGAACTGATAGAGGAGACACTGGCCCCGGCCAGCCAGGGGTGAGGGTGGAAAGGCAGGAGGTGAGGGGCGCTGCGAAGGTGCTTACTGTCCCTTGGCAAAGCTTCTCGTATAAACACTCCAGACGCTGGGCTGCCTCCTCCAGCTTCCGTTTTGTCTTCTGCAGAGAGAGAAAGCGGCTGGCTCTAGCCCCTTAGCCTCACACTACAAAGAACTATAAAGAATCACAGTATACTAGAGCTAGGGTGCCTGGCACCCCTTCTTTTGCATCACAGAGGAAGAGGAGGCCCAAAGAGGTCGGTGACTTGATGAAGTGGACACAGCCCAGGAAAGGCAGGTTTCCTTGCTCTGGGTTTACTCTCCCTGCCAGGGCTCCCTGTTGCCTTTCCAAGTTTTGGTGCTCCTGGGCCCTTCTACCAGGCAATTAGACTACAGGCCAGACAAGATCCCCCCACTCCACACAGACATCAAACAAGTATAAGATGCAGCTTGCATGACAAAGGGCAGAGCAAAAAAAATGGCCACACTAGGGTTTTGGAAAAACCCAGGGGTGTAAGGGGGGCGCCGTGGGGAAGGTGCGCACTCACTAAGTCTGTGGCACACAAGGAGCAGCGCTGCAGAAGCGCCTCAAAGCTGGTCTTCAGGCACTGATGCTCAGGGGGCAGCTCCTTCTTCTCCACCTTTTCGGGTGGTCGTTGACGTCGCTAAGGAAAGAGTAGGGACAGGAGACACTGGCAAGATGGCGTCCCCAGGACTGGTCCTCTCCTCCCTTGAGCAGAAACAGGGAGCACTAACCCTTTTCTACAAGTAAGGACCCCTGAAATCCCCCTGCCCCTAATTCCCCCAGCTCATAACCCATCTCTACACTGAGGAGTGAGGCCTGGCTACCATGCTCCCTGCCTGTCTACACCCAAGGAGGGCTGGAAGTTTCCAGGAGGAAGGGGACACACGGTTCCTGTTACCTGTAGGCTGAGTTCTCCCGGAGCCCCAGGGGGAGCATGACCCACATTGGGGGCGGGGGGCTGTGAGGAAAGGGTCCCTCGTGGCTCGGGGGTGAGGTTCATAACTGGAGCAGTAATTGCTGCAGGGGGCACAAATGTCTCTGGCAGCTGATGAGAGAGAGGAAAAGGCACATGCATTTACTTCCTCAGGCTCCTTAGGCCCTGGTTGAGGGAATGGCAGAATGATGAGGGGCACCAGGAAGTGGGAAGATTGGTGAATGTAAGACGGAAAGAGGAGGGGACAGAAGAGAAGACTGAGTGGGGAAAGAGAACAGCATGTATGGCTGGAAATGGGGAGTTCGCTAAGGACCAGATGTGGATCACGTGGGCCTATGGCCGGGGTGGAGGGGAGGGGGATATGCATTAACCTTTGTCCTCTGAAGGTTTGCCCTGGAAGCTGCAGCATTTTTCAAGGAATCTTGAGGTCCTATTTAGTACAACAACAGAGGTATGTAAGGGTATGGTCAAGAACATTGGAAACTTTAGCCTGAGGCACTGAGACACTATTTTAGTTGGTGTCCACCACATTGCCCTGTGTAGACTGGCCATATTCTCGATTAGCATTCTCCAGCCCGACAGGCCACAGCTCACTGCTTGAGCGGTCATGGGGAGGTGAGGCGAGGGAGGTGATGACTCAAAGAGGAAGACTGACCTGGATGAGGAGTCAAGAGGCTGGTGACCGGGAGACTGCTAGAGCACGGAGCGCCTGGCCCTCCCGGAGGAGGCGCCACAGGGAAGCTGATGGGAGCAGCAAGGGGCTGGAGGCTCAGAAGGCTGAGATCTGGTGGGCTCACCGGAAGCAGCTGGGGCCTCACAGACAGAGAGGCAGAGCCAGGCTGCGTGAGGTCTGTGGGCGCTGTGGGAGTCAGGAGACCAGGGAAAGGCCACGATCCAGGGACCCCCACGGGGTTAAGGGCTTGTGCCTTTTGCTCTCTCAACTGCTGCGGCTGAGATAAAGCTGAAGCAGAAGAAAAACAATTTAGATGCCACCAAACTTCAACTGGGGAGAGATCAGAGCATGTCAGTGAGGAACAGGGCAGCAATAAAAAACAAAACTCAAAAACTAAAGATGATGACAAATAATTAATGCAGGTGTTTGGAGAGCTACCATTTACAAAGTACTTTTAACTCTATTTTTTATTTGACCCTCTAAACAATCCTAAAGGGTTGAGCTGGCCAACATAACTAGTACTCCCATTTTTCAAAAGAAACAGTGGCTAAGTATATTGTCCACAGACGAAGCCTGTACTGGCAACTTCCAAAGACTCTCACTAGACACAGACAGACAATGCCGCCTGCCAAAGCCATGCTGGATGGCCAGCTGTTTTCCTCTGTGATCTGCCCAGATGGATCTCCATTTGCTCACGCACCAGGCCTTACTCCAGGCCCCAGGGACAAAGGTTGGGCTGCCTGGAGCCCAGGCGCTCTGCAATCACTTCTGTTCTGCACCCTGCAGCCCTGATAAGGGCTAGAATGGGAAGCTGTCAAGGGCATCACTGGTGAGGACTGAGGTATGAAAATCCTTGGCCTTGGAGATGGTGTTGCCACCTGTGAAGAAGTAAAAGGGTCAGTGCTTGGAAAAAGTTAGTTATTGAAAAAAAAAAAAAAAAGGTAAAGGCACAAAAAGCTAGTTCTTACAAAACATCAGTAAAATTCATAAATTTCTACAAAGGTTGTCAGAGGGAGGATACAGGTTGTTAAATTCAGGGATAAAACAGAGACTATTCTAACAGACCCAGTAGCCATTAAAAGGGAAATAAATACTAACTTTACATTCATAAATTTAGAAGAAGAAATGAACTCATTCTTCAAGAACGCAACTACAAAATCTCAGCCAAAATTAAATAAATAACCTGGACAGTCTTATAATCACTAGTTCCCCAGGCCTACACAGCTTCACTGGAGAGTTTTACTAAACATCCAAAGAACAAAGTTTATACAAATTCTTCCTGAAAACATTTCCTAATTCATTTTCTGAGGTCAGAATCACCCTTATGCTAAGAACAGACAGCACAACACAGACCCTTATTTCTCATAAGTTCAGACACACATACACATACACATACACACTCACAAAAAAACCACCAAAATTTTAGCAAACTAACAAAGTATATAAAAAATAATATATCATAACGAAGTAGAATTTATTCCAAATCATGCAAGACTTGTTCAATATATCTGAAAGTCCCATCATATCAACAAGCCAAAGAAAGATCATATGGATCATGTAAAACCATGCAAGAAAAAAAAATGGACAAAATTCACAATTCAATACACCAGGAATACAGGGTAACTTTCTCAGCCTCATAAAAAGCATTTACAAAATCACTACCACTAATATCATACTTAATAAGATGTTCTCTCTTGCCATCTTATTTCAGTCATTATAAAAAAAGAAAGAAAAGAAAGGCATAAAGATTATATTCAGGCATACAGAAAAAAGTGTCCCTTTTCAAACAAAATGACTATACAGAAAATCCCTAGAATATACAGAGAATCCCATAAAAAAAATTAGAGTACACGAGGTCAGCAGACTTGTTTCTGACCATTGGAAAGTCACGGGTACAAGATCAACACAAAAAAACTCAACTGCATTTCCACATACTGAAAATGAACAAGGGGAATCAGAATTAAAACTGCCGTGCCATTTGTTCAAGATAAAATTAAATGCTTAGGTTTACTAGATACCTCACAGCCAACCGCGCTCTGGGTCACGTCAGGCCCTCATCACTGTCAGCTGCAGTCTCCTAGCCGCCTTCAGCCTGCCCTTCCTGAACACATAGTTCTCCTTCCCTTGCATAAGACCATTCAACAGCTCCTGTTCTATAAGGTCAAGTCAAGCTCTTGAACACAGAACGCACGGAAGTCTCTAACTTCTACCTGTCCTACCAGCTTCCTCCAGAACGCATGGAAGTCTCTAACTTCTACCTGTCCTACCAGCTTCCTCTAAGCTCACCTCCCTTCCACAGACACCCGTTTTGCAGCCCCATTAAAATATTAACGGTTCTGGCCCTCCCTGGTGGCGCAGCGGGTTAAAGCACAGCACTGAGAAGCTAAAGCCACTTCCGCATGAGTTCGATTCCTGCCTGCCCCGGAGGTGACCACATGGCGTGGCAGACCTCTCCTGACCCGCCCGCTGCTCCCCTCAGCAGTGTACTTCGTCCATCTGCCTGTTCTGCTCCCCACTCTGTCTCTGGTGAATTCTCTCACCCTCTGCATCTCTGGCCTGTACCCCAGTTCTGTATGAAATAAATAAATAAATCTTTAAAAAAATATATTAACGGTTCTTCAAGTAGGCTCTCCCTATTCCCCTCCATTGCCTCTGTAGAGACCCTCCCTCTGCCTGAAATAACTGCGTCTAGCCCTTCCTTTGCCCTAAAAAGCTTTAGGCTTCAAGACTCAGAACAATTATTCTCATTCTGAAATATTTCCTGACTGCTAAGTAAACGCTTTCTGAGTAATGCCCATGGTGCCTTGTCAAACCCGTATCTGGGCAGAAGGTCTCCTCACTGCCTTTTAAGATCACCACTTTATCATGGTATTTATGATTTTTACAACTCTCTCTCTTCATCTGGTTATGAGCTAGTTAGGGGCAAGGATCATGGTTTGCACATCTGTTTTCAGAACCTGGCCACTGTCCATAAACGGTTACTGGACGACTGAGTAAGCTAGGCTTTATGAAGTCACAACTGTCAACATTTTTTGTGCACTGACATACACCAAGTGCTACCACGATGACTGGCGCTTGGTAGACAATAGATGTTTCTGGATGAGTAAACACAGTCTTACCTGTTGAGAAGGCTGGAACCCCATTCCATAAGGCGCTGTCTCTTTACGGCAGGGGGTGGCCCCCACAACCACCCGGGGGAAGGGAAATGGGGGAGAATGTTGGCCCAGGATGCCAGAACCCTGGGCGTGGAAAAGGCGATCTCTCAGCTGCTGCACTGGTGGCTGCAAACATTGTCATAATCAAGAAGCGTGCTAAGATTACAGTAAGCCAACAGTGCCTCTCACAAGCTGGCCCCATACAGCATTCACACTCGGGCCATCCAGTACACTCCAGCCATCTTAGAGAACCCCCAGGTCGCTAGAGCCGGCAAGCCTCCCTCCCACGCTGGTCTCTGATTAGCACACCCTTCATCTGTAGTAAGCTATGTGTCTCTGCCATTAAGCTCAAGTGTTTCAACCAAGGGGGAGGCGTCTTTGACCTCTCCAGGCAAAACCAGCCCCATGCTGGAGTCCAGAGCCCTGCGTACAGATTTCTTCCCTGGCACTATCGTTATAGTACCCATCACGTAGCATGCGGTTTCCTCCCCCAAGCACAGGAGCCCATGAACATCCTGGGGGTGCAGGTCTTACTCCTCCTTGGGCAGAGGCCTGTGCCATGGACATGCTCAGCCAGGGCTGTCTGACTGAATGGGAAGATCTGCTCCCTCTACGTGGCTCCACTCACCTGAGCACAGTCCCTGGGTAGGTAGTGCATGGCAGTGGCCAGGCTGCCCTGGGCTGCCAGCAAGCTGGCATACTGAGTGATCCTGTAGGATGTGGCAGGGCCAGGGCTCACCCCATCAGGGCCCCGCAGTAGCTCCAGGCTCCTGTGAAGGACCATCAGCTTCTCCATCAGGTCCTGCAGGGCAAGGAGGAAGGTAGTCAGGCCTCTTGGAGCACACCTGGCCATCAGGCCCAGCCTGCTTAGCCAGGAATTTCCCACGTTGGGGATGCGGGCACCCAGCCAGGGCCAGAAGAAGCAGCAGGTGATGACATTCGAGACACCTGACGGAAGGGCCCCTTGGCCTCACTTCCCAAGCTGCTAGGACTGGGCTCGACTGGGCTCAACGGGGCCCATCTGCATCTCAGACCCTCACACGTCTCTTGTCATTCTTCTTTCTTTGCCTTTTCTGCCAGTAGTTCAACAATGTCATCAGCAAGTCTGGGCTCCGTCACACCGTTGTTTCATGTGTGACTTTGCTTCCCCAGGAGCGGAGGTCCCTACTGTCTCTGGTCACCCGCGGTGTGTGGTGCCATTTAGAGTCACGGAACTTTCTCACTGCAGCTGCGAGAAGGGCCGGACTCACAAGCACTCAAATGTAGGGCAGACATGTGTAACCAGTCTGAAGCGTGGACAATGAGGAAGGGTGATGGCTAAACAGATGTCCAGTCCCTCCTGCTGAGGAGGAAGGAGGGACACCTCATCCTTGGGAGGTCTCGCAAACCGAGTGCCCCCTTCGCCTCCCTAGTAGCCTGGTTCCAGTTTGGGCATCTAGAAAACCGCCTTGGCTGCCGCTGCCCATCCTGCCCTCCAATGACCCCCAAGAGCTTGGCACGGAGGAGTGTCCTGCGGAGAGGGGTACCTGCAGAGCCGCGGGGGAGGAAACCTGGTGGCACTTTGCCCAGCACTCCACCAGCCGCTCCGCGCTCCCTGAGCACACGTAGCAGAGTCTGGCTTCGGAGGTCAGAGCGCTGCCACCCTCCTGCTCCATGCGAGAGCCCAGCATGTCTGCAGAGAGACGGAAACTCCTGAATGCACAGCTCCCCTACGATCCTCGTCCCTGTGTCTGGGAGCAGGTGGAGGACCATGAGCTGTGCGACAAGCAGCCACAGTGGCTCTGGACGACATGGAGTGGCCACGGGCAAAGCTCTAGCACCAGACTGTGGAAAGGGGAAGCCCGACAGACCTCACGTGACCGCCATGCAACTGGGGCACGCACTGTGGTCCCTGCCACGGCCTGTCCTCCCAGGCCGGGGCTGCGCCTCTGCTCCTCCCGTGGGGTGCCCACAGACCGCGGCCGGAGTCCCCCCCGAAGCTGAGGGCCACCTACCACAGAGCTCAGGGAGGTTCTCTGGTCCTGCGTATGTCAGTAGCAAGGCCAGTGCCTCTTTCCAGTTTTGCAGACTACAGCCACACACCACATCTTTCCAATTCTTCCGCACGACACAGGCTAGAAGCTGTAGTGTGCAGAGGGGGAGGGGCTGTCAGCCAGCCACCCCACCCCGGCAGGAGTCTCGCCTCTGCTAGGAAAGCCACTCACGAGCAGACTGCCTACCTGCTAGGCCACTGACTAGGGGCGGGGGTGAGGCGGGAGTCACTAGAGGGGGTGGGGAGGGCAGTCCCAAGAAGTCGGCCTCCTGCTGCCAGGGTCTAGGGTACCCCCTCCTTCCTGGCACCGTGTGCGGTTACCGAGGAGATTCTGGTTTTGTTCCTGGCCAGGTAGCGCTCTTGTGTTTGCTTCAGCAGCTCTGTGCCCCCAGCCTGGGCCAGGATGATGGCATCGGTGAAACGCTCTTCCTGCAGACACAGCTCCACAGCGGGGCCCAGCTGCCCAAGCAGGAGAGCCTGGCTCAGGAGTCCGTCCGTGTCTGCAGGCAGAGACAACCCTCAGCCCTCCTTCTGCAGATCGCATGGCCTCCTCCCCGAGCTCTGGACCACTCAGTCTTCCTTCCAAACAACAGTCCCAAGCTTCTTTCAGCACCTCAGAATGTAGCGAGGAGCCTGGGGTGACCACATCCAGTGACAGCCCTCTAAGGACAGGCCCAAGACCAGGACCCCTGGAAGGGAGTCAGGCAGCAGTAACCCAAGTGTGATGTGTGCGCGCTCAGCTGGAACAGAGCAGCAGTCCGTTAAGCAAGAAAGAGACATTGCAGTAGAGGTCTTTCCTGGGAAGGCCCCAGCCACGGAAATCTAAACCCAGGGGAGCTCTAACTAGAAACAGAACGAGGCGGCAGCCATGATGCCGGCAAGGAGGAAGGAAGCGAGGGGCCCGACGCAAGTGTCCTCCAGCCCAGGAATCTTGTGGGCGCCTACTCCTGCCCCGCGGGACCACGGTACCTTCTGTGACGGGGATCTCCCATGGAGCCACGTTCTGAGGCACCAGCTCATCAAAGAAGGCTGAGGAGGCTTCCTCGGTGGCGTGTTTGCAGGCCTGTGCAAAGGACAGTCATGGCTACTTAGGAAATGAACCCAAAGAGCGGAGATGGCTTAGCTCTCTCCGGGAGTTCTATGTGGCCGCTAATAGTTTGTAAAGATGAAGAATGCCAGTAAGGTTTGGGAAGAACTCCAGTTCCTGGAGAAAACACACCTCCACTCCCAGCCCCCAAGCTTCAGACTCCGTCTCACTCTTGTTCCAAGAGTGAGGAGTTTGGAGGCGTCTACAGAAGCTCAACACTTACTGGGGGCAAAGCAAAGGGCTGGGAGGGGAAGGGTGTTACCCTAGGTGCAGACGACTGGGCTCTGACCACACCTGGCTACTGAAGACCTGATGTCTGTTTCGGCAGAGGCCATCTCCCTTGAGCTGAGGGCTCCCAGCTGGCCCGACGTCCCTCTTCATCCAAGTGGCCACCTGCAGGGAAGGCCCGTGAGTGCCCAGCACAAGCGCCTAGGATGGCATGTTCTTCTCCCATCGCCAGACCCCGCCCACTGGCCTCCTGAGATCCTTGAGCTCCCACCTCCTAAGTAGCCTAAGTGCAGGCGGTAAAACACTCCTCCATGCATTACTAAAGTCCAAGAGGGGGTACGGTGAGAGGGCTTCCACAGCAAGAAGTCACTCCCTCTGCATCCAGTGTGCTCCAGATGCAAAAGCAGCTTACCTTCTTCTGAAGCTCATCTTTACTGTATCCCAGCAGTTTTAGGAACTTCGTCCTGGAGTCTTGTTCTAAGGAAACCTAAAGAACCATAGAACACCGGCACCCCCATTACTGGAGCGTCAGGACCCCTCTCACACAAGCTGGTCCAGCGTGCAACTCCACACCACCTCTGCGCTACCGGAGGGGCCCTGCTGAGGCTGGGCCACTCTCCCTTCCTCTCCCCAGACTTGATTCCTGCTGGGCTGGCGGCAGAGTATTAACAAAAGCCTTCCCACCTCCGCATGAGAATGGACCTGCATCTGACTTCTTAGCTCTATTATCCAGGAAGAGTGAAATGTCAGACAGGAGCCAATGTTTCTAGGCGATGTGGATGTCGTAGGAGCAGACCTGCACAGACCAGCGTAGGGGTGTGGACGCCACGCCCTGGGCCTCCCAGGTGGCAAGGGCACTCAGCACTATGCTCTTGGGGTTGATAGCAGAGATACTGGCTCTCCTGGGCAAGAGGCTTCTAAGCTAGGGCAACTTACACACCTGCTGGGGGTAGACCTCATCTTGCACCTGAGCTGTCCCCTTGGGCATTGAAAAAAAGAACTCTGGATAGCCTCATGGCCTATGACAAGGATGCCCACCTGAGGCCCACCTGAGGCCCATCTGAGGCTGCCCAGCTGACAAGCTGTAGTTCCTGTCCCAGATCCTTCTGAGGAGATGAAGGCCATGGAGGCCCCGGTGGTTGTGTGAGTCTAAGTGTGTAGCTGAGCAGGACTGATGGCAGGTGTGCAGGCACAGTAAACGCGGTACTAAAGCTCCCTGCTCTGTGTCCCAGCTAAGGAGGGCCAAGCCCTCCTGAAGCCCCACCCTAATTTGGGCAAGCAGACCTGGACCACACAGTCTGACTGATATTTCTGATCATCTTTTACAGCCACTCTCGTGGCAATAGAAATGTTTGTACACACTCAGCTTCAGGACCATCATGCTGGACAGCTCTTAAGCCAGGGGACCTCTGTCCTCTGGACACTGCTGGCCCTTTGTTGAGCAGAATAAAGGCTGAACTCCTGATGGCAGCTCTAACCTCTGTCCCACCACACCCTTCCTGAAGCTGTTGGAAGGGAAGCACCACTCTTTTCTTCCCACATCTTTTTCTAGCTTCACTCTCTGGTTTACGATCCTTCTGAAAAGCCTTTTTTCCTTCCCAGACTCTTGGTGTCTATCTTTATAAATTCAACTATGCCTGAAAAATAGGCCCCAAGTTCTTATCAGGCTCCCTGGGTCACACCATCCTTTTTGCACCTGTCTCTACAATGCCAAAATTTTTGAATAAATCTCTCACTGCCTGTGCAGGCAGTTATTTCTCTTTCTTCCTTCAGCTACCTCCTCTCACGGGCTCATTGTTTGTGACAGGTGCAGCACCCTTCAGAACATAACCTAGGACTGGAGCTGAAGGTCCCTGTATAGTAAGTGGAACTCAGGCCTGCGTCCACCAGTCACTTGTCTTGGGTTACCTGAAAGAAACAAAGTCTTCTCACAGTGACGCACCTTGCCCACTGGTTCTTTCTCCTTCTCCATCATCTTGTTAAGGGGAAGGATGCCCTAAAGGAACTCTGCACAGTCTGGTGGACTCCACCCCCTACTCCAGTGACTGGAAACTACAACTCCCAGCACTACCAGGGAGAGAACTGCGAGGACCCAAGGGTGGAGCTAAGCAAGCATTCTGGGACTTAGGGGGATAAATAGGGCACCAGTGTGTCTCTCGCTCTCTCGCTTGGGAAACGGCTCTCTGGACCTTATGAGGTGGCGTTTTCATCCGAGCTGGTAAGGTATTCCAGTTACTTTGTATCCTGTTCTCTTTCCCTGGGTTGTTTCCTGTTCCTTTCCCCTTTTTATAAATAAACCCATTTTGACCTTTTTGTGTGCACCTGCAGTATAACTAAATTTTAAGTGTGTGGGTGAGGCCCCACCGGCAGGTGGCCCAGTTCACTCTGGGCTGCCCTGTAACAATCTTTGGTATGGCATTGGGAAAACCTTCATCTTTGCTCTACTGAAGTACCAGAGCATCAGTACTAGTAGCAAAAAAGGCAAATGTCACATACTCCTCAGCTTCCCTAGCTGAAAATGGCTTTCGAGCCTCTGACAAAGTGTGATAATTTTCTGTCCGGATTTCCTGTGGGTGGCATGTAGAAAAAAACCTAAGAGGGTTTGGGACTCTGTAATCTGGGTCACAGTGTGGCTGTGTGTCTCCTGAGGTTCATAAAGGGTGAGGTTCCCAGCTTTGGGGCGCAGCCAGTCTCCATGAGCCCTACCTTCAGGAACTGCCACAGCATCTTTTCACTTTGCAGTGACGCCAGCTGGATCTTGTTCTCACAGTAATTCAAGAGATTTCCCGACCCCAGGGCCTCCTGCAGCTCAGTGGACCGCGTCAGGAACTCGGGTTCGGTGGTGACTTGACTGATAAAGACTAGGCGGAGGCAAGGCTGAGGCACCTGGTGGGCAGGGGTGCTGGGGATGCCAAATGAAACCAGCTTCCCCCCAAACTGGTGAGGAAAAGTAAGAAGGGAAACAGTTACACCTTCAAATCAAAAACTAATACCGAGTCAGGGTCACAGAGCCCCTCTGTGGACTCTAACAGGGAATGAATCACAAGACAACTCCCAGGAGTAGAGGTGGTGAGAAGTGAGCAGAGTGTGCCCCACACTGGGAGGCTCCTTCCAGTAAGAAGCTTAACCCCGTCAGCTTCTGGGCCATAGCTGCTAACCCCCGCCTCCCAGCCACCTGCATGAGACACCTCGACGGTGACAGTCTTTACACCCACTGAGACAAACAACAACAAAGTCTCACCTCTTCTTGTCGATGTCTTGCCAACCTCTGCCCCGTGCCCAGGGCCAGCACACCTGAATTACCAGACTGGGTTGCAAGCCTCCCCTAACCCAAGCCTTAGCCTACAACCCTATACCTGTTGCTGCTCAGGAGCTGGGGATGGTTTCACAAGGCCACAGCAGAGGCTTAAGTTCCTGTCTGACCTGCACCGAGTCCTTAAAGCCCAGCTCTGCCCTCCTAGCATCTCTCCCGTCATGTATGAGGTTACACCCTACCCCCAAAGTTCATTCCTGTTTCTACCTTAACCTGCCACAGGCTGCCCACCCGAGCATACTTCTTGGTAAATTAGGTGACTCCCGAAGCACCTGGCACAAAAGTGGAGCTACGCCAGTGACCCTCCACCCCTGCTGCACCTTAAAGGCACCTCCGGGGCTGTTGCCAAGCTGAGCCCCAAGACAATAAAATCAGAGTCTCTGGGGTGGGGCGGGCAATCAGTATTTATTCTGACTGCAGTCATGGCCAACAACGACTGCTTTTACCCCCCAGATCTTCACTATTTCCCTTCCTAAGGCCCCCTCTTGATGAAATTTCCTAGTTTCAATTCTCCTTTCGACTCCCACAGCAGATCTACACTGCAGACCCACACTAAATAAAACCACGTGAACACTGAACTTGTATAGTTCAGTGTTTCACAAGTGGCTACATATATTCTCATTTGGGCTTCATGTCAATTCACTAAAGTAAGCTGGACAGGTATTATTATTCCTGTTTTAGACATAAGAACACTGAAGTTCTGAATTAAGTGACTTACCCAAGGTGACCCAGCTAATAAATGTCAGAGCTGTGAGAATTCGGGCCTCTTGACCTCTCTGCTTCTTGAGTGTGCTAATCTACCTCCCCAATAAAAGTGTTAGCTCTGAAATCAAGAATTCCTACTTCTGTACATCTGTTTTTAAGTTCAAACAGTACTTTAAGCACTGTGTTCTGTGTTTGAGGGCCTTGCTACTTCCCATACCAGCACCAAACCTTTTGGTTGGAAAATTAGACTCAGGCCCTGCTCCAGACCAAACTCAGAATCTGGATTTGAATAAGATTCTCAGGTGACATATGCACATGAAAGTTTGAGAAGCACGGCTTTACAGAGAACAGGGAGTAAGACATGGTCCCTGTCTCGAGCAGCCCACTGCTGAGTCGGGTCTCCAGAGAGGTACATAAATAATGTCAACATAGGGAGGCTGTATCATGATCGCTGTAAATCTGTGAGGTTACAGAAGTGAGGTCAAATTTGACTAGGGCTAAAGATGGGCATCGCTGACAGGGATCTTGAAAGGCCACCACAGATGGACTCAAAGGCCGAAGAGAAAAGCTGAAGAGGAGGGTGGGACAGCGAGGCTGAATACAAAGTCATCATCTGTGAATGCAGCACAGGGAACAAAGGGAATCTGGTAGAAATAAAAAGGGGAAAGGAAAACGGGGCCTGTGTGCACGTGGCCACCGTGTGTTGGCATGGGGGGCAAGGGCTTTCAGCAGAGGCCGGTGCTGACACTCCTTTCCTGTTGTGTTCTGACCCTATGTGTCTGGACTCACTACCAGTACCGGCATGTGGGGACTAAAGGAAAATCCGGTGGGCCCTCAGCTGTCTTCAGAGGTGAGAGGGCTAAAGCACTGCCAGGCACAGTAGGCAGAGCGGAGGGGTGGAAGGAGGTCACAGTAACCCTCTGCTGAGCGGCAGAGTGGGGCCTGATCTGGACGCAGCAGCGAGAGAACGCGGCAGCAGAGATCACCTCCTCCAGGCCTTGCTGGGCACGCAGCTTCACAGACACGCACACGCGCATGCACACACAGCACTTACAGCAAATGAAGCGCCCGCTGGCCGTCTCATCCATTTGGGGGCTTTCTTCAGAGGAGGTACCAGCGATGCTTGGACCGCGTGCTCTGGCACCTGCAGTGGTGGGAGAGGCCAGTCTTTGCTGAAAGAAGAAGAGATCTGGGGGCAAAAGGACACCTGCATCACCAGCCTGAAGTGGTGTCTCAGCCGGGACCTCTACCTACAAAGTCCACTTTTGGAGGAGTCCTCCAGACACTCAGTGAGGCCCATGGATGCTGGACGCCCATGTTCCGGGGGTGGGGTGGGGCTGGCGGTGAGGGCAGGACTCGCACCACGCAGGCTGTTGGGAAGCTACACCGAGCGAGACACGAGAGGGAGCGACAGAGGGATGGCGGCAAATGTGGTCCTAGCACACAGGCCTGGTGACCCGAAACAGCACAGCAGACACCCAAGAACAAGAGTCAAGGTGAAGACTTCCTCCAGATTGTGGGGGGAACACACATCCTCCCTGGAAGATGGGCGCTGGAACAAAGGTGCTCCCCCCACACACAAACCTAGAGCCTCAGTCTCCCTGACTCTAACTGTCCCCACTTCTTTCAGGTCACATGTCCTTCTCTTTCCCCCATTTCGAGATGGCTCCTTCCCCCCTCCAAACCTTGTCAGCCTGTCTCATCTGCTGGAGTTCCCAGCTCCTGCCCATCACAGAGTACAAACTGATCCAGCCATCGAAGGAGGCAGCAGAGAACACCGGAGGGTCCCGAGGGCACCACTGCACATCAAAGCACCAGTTGCTCTGTGGGGGCAGCTTAAACGCCACCTGACAGGAGGGACACGCCACTGGAACCACGCAGTCCAGGCAGCCCTGAACACAGAGCTGCAGCTGGGACTGCTCCTCCCGTCCCGGCACCCCGACAGGAGAACCACACTACCTCACCGCTCCCCAGGTTCCAGCACAACAGCTGGTTGTCCTTGGCACAGCTGAGCAGCAGCTCAGCGTCAGCCTGGCTCCACGACACCGACAAGATGCCCCTAGACAGCAAAGAGAAACTAACTTCGTCGATGCCCACTACAGGGTACCTGTCAGATCTTGGCAAAAATCTCATCCCTACAAATAAACAGGCTTATTTCATTTTACAAGTGAGCAAAATGAGGCTTTGAAAAACCAAGTAATTTCTGTACTCGTGCAGCCAGAACTGAAGGCCACGCCCGGAGACTGCCCACGCGCGGTGCCCCCCCAGCCCAGGGGTCACTGCAAGATGGTCTGCTTCTTCTCCTGGACCGCAGAGCAGGGCCGGTGAGTCAGTCTGAATCCGACTAGTCCCTTTGGGGGTGGAGACTCTAAAAGACCCCATGGAGGCCTAAGGCAGCACGGCCTCTAGTGAGGAGGGGCAGACTATGGGATCTGCTTTCTCTGCGGTGGGCCCAAGAGCTACAGCTTCAGAGGGGGCCGGTTCACTGGCACACAGGAGTCCAGCTTCACGTATTAGGAAGTTTTGGGGGGCACAAACTCATCATCTAAGGAAATGAACATTGTTCTGAGACCAGAACCTGCGACTTTCCCGAGACACTAAATACCTCTCATGACCCTAGGCCAACTCCCATCTCTGGAAGTTGGGTGGAGTCTTAGAGTCTCCTCCAGAGCCTCCAGGTCTTAAGGAACTCCCCTTGGTGAGGCTGGCGCTAGGACTGGGTGACTGTTCGCCAGGGTGGCTTAGAAGCCAGGAAGGAGGCCTGACAGCAAACGAGGCATTCGTTACCGTCTACCATGTCCTTATGTCCCTGCCTTCCAGAAGGATGTGGGCCAGGTTTGCGATGCTACCTGCTGTGACCCTCCAGCACCTTCAGGGGTGAGGAGGCAAAGCGCAAGTCCCACAGCTGAATCACTGGGAGACGGTCGTCTTCGGAGCACAGCACCAGCTGGGTGGCGATGTCTGGGTGCCAGGCCAGGTCTGAGCAGTGCATCTACAGACAACGCAGATCCCATGGGGGTGTGACCAGAGAGTCTGGGTACGACCCTCCTCTGCCCAACGGGGCTGGGGCCACCCTAAGGACAGCATTTGTGTCTCTTCTGTGTGACTGGGAAGACCACAGCGTCCGCGAGTAAGTGCTGGCCCTGAATAAGGCAGGCAGAGCAGTGGCCTCCGACAGACTTTATTTAACTTCCCGGCCCTTTCCCGCTCAACGGAAACCCACTCAACGGAAACCCGCTAGGGGGCTGAACCCGTGTGTGCAACAGCTGACATCAGAACCCTGCCCAGGGAGCAGGGGCACCAGCGGCGGGGATGACAGAAGCAGAGGCCAGCCCGGACGCGGCCTCGGAGACTTACCCTGCGGCTGTGGTCGCTGACTTTAATGATAGGTTCGTTCTTCCTAAGATCCCAGACAACAGCCTTGCCACTGGGGTGAGCGGAAGACAGAATGTGCTGCACTTGCCGGTTCCAGGAGAGTGCCTTGATGTCTTCTGGGGGCTGCTGTGGCAGGATGAGGGGGTGCAGGGTGTCACCCCCTGGACCAACAGCCACCTGCTGTTCCAATGCGCCCGACTACCCACAGAAAGTCCGAGAGCAGATGGGCTAGCCAAACCAAGACGGTCTCAGGGAGCTACGAGTGGAAATTTTCCAGAGAGGATCCCCAAAGGGAGGGGTGAGGAAGGAGAGGAAATGGCAGGCACTCCTGGCAGCTTCTGAGAGCATGGCGTCGAGATTTAAAAATAATAATCGTCTCTCACAGAGAGGGAGAGGAGGAAGATGAGGAGAGGAAGGAGACCCAGACCCAGGGAGAATGAGGCAGAAAGAAGATTCATTGCTACTAGGTGCTATCAAATTCATATTTAACTTACCTCGCGGTACTGTAAGCATAAGACAGAGAAAAGCCAGTAAGCAAAAAGATGGGCCCAGTTACAAACTGACACACAGGTACAGTCAAGAAACAGAAGACACACAAGGCCCCCAACTGCCCAGGGGGAACCACATGCAGAGACGAGGCAGCCCCTCCCCACAAAAAGGCCCAGGATTTATCTTGGGGTCCCACTCCTGCCCCTGCCACTGAGCCCAGAAGCTGCAGTAGCTGCCACAGCCTGATAAACCAACCGCACTCTCGCCTGCCTACACTTTTCTTTCAGAAGCCCCAGGACAGCTAATGGCCACCCCAAACCACCCCTTGGCCACCCCACCTTCTTCCCTTGCCCCATTATCTCGTGACAGCACCTTCTCTGTGGAGCTTTATTGTCCTCTAGTGGTAAAGTCTGAGATTGCCTATCTCTGCCGGCCTCCACAATGCAAGGCTTGCCCTGGGAGAATCTGTGGCACATTCTCCAACAGCAGCCAGGAGCCTCCTCACCTGCGATTTGGATCCTGGGGTCATTGGCACACTCAGGTTATTCAAATCCCAAATGAAGATCTCAGAATCACTGGCCCCTGAGGCCAGGAGGTTGCCCTGTGTGAAGAACAGGCCTTTAGAGGCACAGCATGCCGGGGACAGTTAAGAACAGGAAAGGGGTTGGGGAGGGGAAAGACCCACATCTGGGGACTCCAAAGCCTCCCCGGCAACTGCCTGGGAAAGGGTCACACTATGGACCAGGGTCACAGTGGGTGCTCCATACAGGCCTGATGCTCCAGGAAAGGCCCTGCTGGACTGATGAAATGTAGTACCTGGAAAGGATTAAAGTCAAGGGCTCTGACAGCCCCCGTGTGCTTCTGTCTCTGGGCAATCACAGGCTCCTCCCCTGAAGACAGGATGTGTGCCACACTGTATACAGTAAGCATGCCATTGTCCCCGCCGCCTGCAAGAACCCCGGAGCCTTCCAGAAGCCCATTGCCAAAGCTCCCCCAGATCAGCTTGTGAAACCTACAAAGAGGAGGAACTGGCATCAGCACCAACTCGGGTTGGCAGGCAGAGGGTAGCATCTCTGTCAGCCTCTGCCCTCACGCCGGCCTCCCCACCCTCGCCGGGGGCTGAGGGTCTCTCCCAGTTCCCAGACACAAAAACAGGTCTCCTCCGCCCCCTCCTGCCCTTTCTCTGAAAATCATTCCATCTGTGTTATGCCGGAAGTCAGGAGGCTACTGCCTTCCAATTGTGGAGGGGACTGTTTAAGTTACTGTAACTGGGGTTATACAGGTACAGTGATAAATACTTCAAATAGATGGCTTAACACTCACAACTGGGCAACAACACACTGAATACGTACTCCATGCCAGGTTCTGTGTTAAGTACTCTGCACGTATTACCTGATCTTACATGCTGCTTTAATATCTTAATATCAATTTTTAAAATTTTTATTTATTTACGCATACAAGAACTGGGGTACAGGCTAGAGGTGCAGGTGTGGTGACAGGATTCACCAGAGACAGAGCGGGGAGCAGAACAGGCAGATCGACGAAGTACACTGCGGAGGGGAGCAGCGGGCAGGTCAGGAGAGGTCTGCCGCGCCATGTGGACAATCTCCCTGGTCAGAAATCTAACTCATGCTGCAGCGGCTTTGGATAGCTACACAGTGCTGCACTTTGACTCCTGGCACCACCAGGGAGGCTCCAATATTAATATTTAACACTCAGATATTATTCAGCTGAGGAAACTGAGGCACAGAGACGTGATGAAACTTCTGTATATACAGCTAGCAATTTTATCCCCATTTCTCAGCTAGGAAGTGAGAGAGACAAGGTTCAAATTCAGGCCCATCTTATTTCAGAGCCAGAGCGCTTTAACATCATAAAATACTGTCTTCTTTGTAGAGGGAGATGGGAACTCTTTGTGCCTGACCAGAAGCAGGCTCCTTGTATCAACAACTGCAGTCCCCTCTCGTCTCTCATACTAGAAGTGAGGAAAGGCCCAAAGGCCTCCCTGCACCCTGCCTCTCCTATAAGGCTGGCCCACTGGAGATGCTACATAGCAGCATAGGGTCCACCGCAGAGACACAGGCTATGAATGATACCCTTTGGGAAACCCTTTTCTGGTTTCCTGAGCATGTGTCAAACAAGACAATGCCAGTGTTTTGCTTATAAGACGAAGAGCATGGACCCCCCTGAAGACAAATCTGGGTCCTCTGCAGAGTCCCTAAGGAAGATGTGTGAAGCCCCAGAGCCTCACAGGTGGTCTGTCCTTCATTTCACAGCTGCTAGACGGTGAAATGACAGTCTAGCACTTCCACAGCCCTCCAGAAGCAGAGTTCCCATAGGATGATGTCACGAGATTCCTAACCAAAATGAACTGTTCCCACACACTGGAACAGTCAGCAAAGACTGCAGCAGGAACCTGTCTGGCTAGTCATTAGCACAGAACCAACCTGCCAGAAGTAAAGAGCTGAGGGCCGTTTAGGCCAGGTCAGCAGCTGAAGTGGCGCAGCCAAGGTGACACTGAAGCTGACGCTAAAGCTATGGTCAGAAAGGCTGTTTCTCTAAGGCTGTGCAGATCCCGATGGCGGAGAATGGGCTCTACACTGATGCAGGAGACCACTGTGTGTCCCTAGACACTAGGGACCAGGGCTTGGCATGACAGAGAGCTAAAGACACCTGTTACAGGTCACACAGGAGCATGAGAGACGACTGTGAGACACTCACATGTGACTGGGAGGACAGGACATACAGAACAGAATGGAAGGTGACCTGAGGCTGCAAGAGGGGTGTCGCCAGAGGACTGGATCCCCGGAGGGCCAGTTATGTCAGAGAGGCTGAAATGCAGAACACAGGGTGTGACGAAAAGATCTGCCTTCTGTAAGCCCATATCAGTGCGGTCCTACTGCTAACTACTTCATTAGTGATTTGACACTGAGCCTGAACAGGACATGCTGAGAACACTTAGGACAATCTTAGCGAGGGCAGGGACCTGATCATCAGTGGGCTCGAGGAAAGTCAATCACTTCTGCTCAGCAAGCGGCCGTGGGACGAGAGTCATCTGGAGGGTGGCAGGCGGGCTGGCACGGGCAGAGAGGGCCCACGTGGGCAAATGCGAAAACGTTAACTAATGAAGCTAAGTGAAAGTATATGGCTGTTCCTTGTGCTACTCTGTAACATTTCTACATTTGAATGTTTTAAAAGCTTTTGGCTTCAAAATCGAAACCAAGGACATGGATTCTCTGCTATCAAGGTTCCTAAGATAATGATGAAGACAACAGATACCATCTGTTGTCACAGTGGTGGCTGGCACCTACAGAAAACACAGGATCTGATGGAGCAGAGAGACATGTGAGGAAGACGGGCGGGCTTGCTGCTCGGTCACGGAAGGAGACGCACGGAGCGAGACGTGTAGACACACTTGGAAGAGACATGGTGAGAGAGCACGGGAGACTGAGCATAGCAGCTGCCATCTTGTTCTTTACTCCTTTCACCTACTAGCCCCTTCTGCCCCTGCCTCGAGGCTCCCTGCCAGAAGGTGCTTAAACCTCTAGCAAGTCTTCAGGACTCAGATGCTCTGCTTTGGGCAACCCAATTTGGTTGGGCATTTGCCCGTGAGGGGATGGGTAACTTTGCATGCTTTATTGGAAAACTACTCTTTTTTTACTCTTTCTATGATACAGTCAAAAAGCAGGAGAGTGAAGCTAGTGGAAAGGCATGATGGGTGTTCGAGACAAGAACCACTTTTCTGAATGGCCAGTTTGCACCAGGATATTGGGTGCCAACAGTTACCCCAAATTTGCAGAGGAGAAAACAGGGTCAGAGAAGTTAAATAATGTTCCTGAGAGGTGAACACATGGAAGAAGGGACTTGAACCTGCTCCATCCAAAGCACACGCTCTCTCTGCAGTGATCTGGGTATCTCCACAGAAAAGGCGAGACCTGGAAACAGGAACACTAAAAGAGGACACAAAGTCATCTTTTCCACTTACTTTTTGTCCCTTATACAGGCATCTGAGGAGAGGTCACAGTGTCTCCCAAGTTGCTAGAACTGAGAGGAAGGTCCTGGAAGGTGGATCAGCTGCCTCTCCATGGGACCAAGAGATGGGCCACACAGAGGTCAGAGATCCAGAATCTCTGTGCAGATGGAGGGGAGAGTGTGGCCATCACACTGCTCTTTGCCTCCTCAGCCCCAGCAGCGATGTCCTCAGCTCAGAGGTCAATGAAATACATAACCACAGTGCTTTTCTTCCAGACACCATTCCTGTGAGACTCACCTTACAAACCAAACTCTGCTTGTTTCACTACACACGCCAATCCACGCTGCTTCTGACTGCATCCAGCAGTGTCTGCCCTGTGCTCCCAGAGGCCCTTGACTGCTGAGGCCGTCCCTCCTCTACACCCATAGCAGGGTGTCAAACAGTTCTCTTTCAGCCAGGGATTGACAAGCAAATAAGATTTCTGCGGTGCATTTTGACTGAAGGTTCAGAAAGTGTTCAGGATTCAAATGTGGTTAAGGAATGGGTCTGGTGAAAAAGGGCAGGTGAAGAAAGAGGGGGCTTTGGAAAGCACAGGACGCTAACTAGAGAGGGGACGTGAGCCTGGACGTGAGACCTGGATTCACAACTAGGTGTGTCCTTAGAGGTCATCTTGTATAACTTCTTCTTTATGCATAAGTAAGGAAATCTTGGTTTGGCCTAAATCCACAGTGCTTCATGAGTACTGTGGCCAAGGCTGCCTTCCCACAGAACCAGGCAGAAGATGACAGAGAAAAGAATGCACACACAGCAGCAGGTGGGAGCACTCCTCAGACTTAGCCTCTTGGTCAACAGCTTGTGAAACACACTTGTGAGTAAGTGACCTAACTTACTCAGGTTGGAGCAGGAAGAAGTGGGTGTCTTAGATCCTGGGGTGTCCAAGATGATTAGGAAAGGCCCAACAGGATTGTGACTAAAGGTAGTCCCATAGGTCTTTTGAAATGAGAACCAACCTCTGGACATAATTATAGAAATGGAAGAATAAAGTAGCAAGGAAGTACTATCAATAATATGTATTTTACATTTTGGTCACAGCCCCCAAATCCCTGCCCCTGGAATAAGGGTGTGAGGTGTGGCTCGTGATTCCTGAATTTTGTACCAACACTTCAAAAAAGAGTCCCCCAAACCTGGCTGGTTACAAAAGAAACAGATCATCCATCCTAAAAGCCTCGTAAGGCACCAATACTGACTGAAAACTAACTGTAACTGAAGAGGTGGCCGTGGTATTGAGCTTGACAATGAAAAAGTTTCTAATATACCTCATTCATTCTACAAATACTAACAAGCATCTAATGCCAGGCACTTTTCTAAGAGCTGGAGATACAAAAGTAAATAAAACAGGCAAAAATCTCATGTAGATTCTTAGAATTCAGATTTCAAGGTTTCTTAAGCAATTACATTGCCTCTTTCTCAGGAACTCTTAACAGTAGGGAGTCACTACCATGCTGAAGTGCTGTTGAGCTGGTGAGTGTAAACTTCATTGACTTAGCTCACCCCTTTCAAGGGCCCTTTCTGAAATACTTGCTTGGAGGCTAAGAGTATCTCACCAATAACTGTATCACCCCCTCACCCCCCATTTGCTCAAAAGATGCAGGTTATTTACCCATGTAAAATAAACAAATTTTCTAAAAACCTGAAAAATAAGGGATACTGTCATAAAAAGATATAGGGACTCAAGAAATGGAGACCAATAACTAACCCTTCACTATTAGGTTAAACTGTGAGAAGAAAGATGTGGGTACACCTGTCTTACCACCTCTCAGATGGGCCAAAATAAGCACAAGGGTTAATCAGTCAACAGTTGGAAAGCTGCATTCTAGGCCAGTAATCTCTAAAGTGGAGTATAAGGAAAAGATTTGTATTTGTAACCTAAAAATTAGAGAAGTGGCAATGTATTAATAGCACAGTAATACATGTTTATTACTTGTGATACTATGTAACCTGAATATAGTGATTATTCATTTTCCTGATGGTACAAAAATCTGGGCACCATTGCTTCAAAATGCAGCTCACCCTTCCAAAGCCTATAAAAGAACACTTGAATAATGGAGAGAAGATAGGCTTGGGATTCAGACAGGCCTAGACTTAACTCGAAGCTTCTAAGAGTTTTGTTCTCGTCTGTGTAAAATGGGAGTAACAGTGTTATTACCAAGGCTCACTTTGGGGCATGAACAGGACATGAGCCCCAGTACAGTGCCTATGTGCCTACGTGTGCTCAGTGCATGTCAGTACCTGTCCCCAAAGGCTGCCAGGGCCATGAAATATGTAAGTACCCTAGTATGCCCCAGGGCGATGGGGAGACGATCATTCATTCTGCTTAGTGTAGGCAGAAAAGGGAGATACTGCGTAACCAAGTTTTCTTGACAAGATCCGAAGGAGGAAGGAGGCATCTCTGGGTTCAGAGAGAGACGAGGTATTCTGGGTCCAGGCTCCCATGAGGAGTCTCTACACATGATTCTGCCTGACACTGCTGGTACCCTTGCCAAAAACAAACAACCAAGAATTAACTTCTCTTTAACTTGAAGGTTCTTCTCTCCTCACTGGTCACCAAGTGAGTCTTGGGGAAGACACTATTCTGTTAGGATCGGGATCTGTCCTGCACCCCCACTGGTAGTTCAGACATTGTACCTGCTTGAGGCAGAAAGGACTCCCTTGCGTTTCAAGTCCAAAGAGGGGTCCCTGAAATCAACCTCAAAGATTTCCAATGTGCCATTTGTGCTAAAGGAGGCATCGAGCTGCTGGGCGGAGGTTCCTAGGCACAAGCACAGTCAGGAGGAGGCAGTGCGTGAGCAAAAACAGATGCATGGATTGCAGGTAGTACTGGTTAGTGAGAGGAAAGAGAACAGATTGGGGCTGGGTAGACCCTTCTCAAATGGCAACTCCAAAGAAAGCATGAGGTGTCTACCACTGAGTTAGAGTTCAAGCAAGGCTGCCCCCAGGTAATAAAACATTTATTATCCCCTTGTGTATGCTGCAAACCAACCCCACCTTCCCATGACTCTAAAGCTTTCTCATATGCTCAGTAAGGAATTCTGGGTACTAAGTTTCCCCACGACCTCATGGTGATCCTCGCCCGCAATATTGCTGTACCTGTGGCCAGACACACAGGGTGCTGGCTAGCTGGGCTCCATGCAGGGACAGCAGGCCGCTCAAGTTCTTTCAGCTTCATGGTGTGTCCTGTAGGTGGCAGAAAACTGACAGGGCCCTCAGTCCACTGAAAATAGAAACCAGCAAGCTTAAGGGCCAGAGCCAGGGACACCAGTGTTTCTGAAGATCTTGTTTCTCTCTTTCCATCATGGGATGGGGCATTTCAGGGCAACACAGGGCGGCAATTACTGACATCTGCAGCTCTGTAAGGACAGTTTATTTACTCAATTGCTGAAACCTAATACTTTAAACTTCAGAAGATATTCAACTACACTGGCTATTATGGCCCAGTGGTGATTATAATCATCAAACCACATAATCTCTCAGTGATTGTGTCTCTCTTGACCTTAAATATCATCCATTTGCTGATGGCTCCCAAATTGGTATCACCGGCACAAATCTCTCCTCTCAGCTCCAATTTCTCATATTCAAGTTCCAATCAAGTATTTCCACTTGCACATAGCAAAGATACCTTAAGGCTAGTTTGTCTAAAATGGATTATCTATCCCACCATCTCCTCCCAGTAAGTCTGTTCTTCCTTGTTTTCTTCATGTCAATAAATAGTACCACAATCCATCCAACTGCTCCGTAGAAACCTGAAAGCCCCTCAGACCCCTCCTTCCCTTCCAAAATCCATTTTCATCTACTTTGCTCTCACGCCACTGCTGCCACTCTAGTTGAGGACACCACCGTCTTTCACCAGGAATCTCCCAACCGGACATTTCCCTACCAATCTTACTCTCACCAGGTTCATTCTCTACATAGCAAGCACAGGATTTGGAGGGCCTGCCTGGTGGTTCAAGGGGTTAAGTCTCTGCACAATGACGCTAGTGGCAGCCACTGCAGCCAGAGCTCTATCCCCGCCAAGCAGCTAACCCAGCAGACCTCTCCTGTCTCGCCCACTGCTCCGCTCAGCAGTGTACTTCGTCCATCTGCCTGTTCTGCTCCCCACTCTGTCTCTGGTGATTCCTCTCCCCACCGCCTGCCTATGCCCCAGTTCTTAGATGCATAAATTATTTTTTAAATGGGATTTTAGAATTTCATGCTTAATAGCTTTCAGTGGCTTCTCCCATGATCAGAATAAAACTCAAACCCTGTGTGGTAGCTCTGCTCAAAGGTTCCAGCCTATTCCATCTAGTATGATTTCCCCCTTATTCATTGTGCTTCTTCATTTCCTGGTCTTTTCTTACCTAGAGCTTTTATAAATTGTTTCCTGTACTTTGAATGCCCTTAATTTTCTCAGAAAGGTGAGGCATCCAATCAAAAATAGCCTCAACTTTCTTGTCCCTAGGAATTTACAATTATATATTTATTTCCTGTTATATTGCTGGATCATCCAGTATCAGGTACACCCACAAGAGCTGGCGCTGTGTCTGTTTTGTCATGTTGTAACTAGTGGCCAAACATGTTTAATACCTAGCAATTACTCAGTAACATTTGTTGGATATGAAGACATTCATTTTCTTTTAATTCCGTGGTTTCCAATTCAATTCAAACACATACTCAAGGTCTCATCCTCACTGGATAGCAATGCAGCAAAGGTTTTTGGTTTTGTTTTTAAAGTAACTGATAGAAGAATCCATGTCCTGCTGAGCAAACCACAGTTAGGTCACCGCATCCCACAGAAACAGGAGGTGGTATTACTTAATCTCAAATGTACTTTCCAGCTTTAAGAAGATATAAGTCTGCCAATTCAGACAAGATTTCCAGGCAGCCTCTAAACGCTTAAAGGGACTTCAAGTGTCTTCTGACACTGCACAACACACTACAGTCACCAGTGCCACCTGCTGGTCAAAGGCATTTCCACGTTTCTGGTGAAAGATTGTTTAAACCAAAAAGGAATCAGATTAGCACAGTACTTTTGACGTGCTTATCTCATTTAATTCTCACTATGGTTCTAGGCGGTAAGTACTATTAGCATCGTTTTACAGAGAAGAAAACTGGCGAGGTCGGCATGGGAATCCCAATCAGCCTCCAGAGCTGTGCTTTTAGCCATCGTACTAAACTAAAGCCGGTACAGTATGCTTAAATCCCTGACAGCCTGGAAACTGGGAAGATAAACTCTTAGTCTACTATGCTCAGAGACAGCTGTTCCCAAAAAGGAAGCGGCTGGGGTCAGGATGGTGGGCGGGGACACTCTGGATGGTGGTGAAGACAGGACGAGCCATGACCAACAAAAAAGAGGTGAACAGACCCTTGCAGTGAAGAAGGTCGCCCGCTATCCTAGGTCGTCCAGTCTCTCCAGCCTTAGCAAGCTCGGCGAGCCGGGTCAGCAATGACAGGCCTTCCCGCCCAGGCCGGACAGAGACCCGGTGTGCGCTCTGGGTTCAGGTCCGCCCACAGCGCAAGGAGGGTGGGAAGGCGCCAGGGCCGCGCAGAAGAGAGCCTCTCGTTGGCCTGGGGGGACCCAGGGGCGACCGGGAGAGGGGTGCCGCGTTCCCTTGGGGCTGGGGTGGGGGTGGGCTTTGTGGGGGACCCTGAGAGGCACACTGGAGGGGGCCCCCGGGGGCGAGCCAGGAGCGGGCCGGGGTCTCCCAGGCGTCAGCCCTTCTTCCCACCCACCCC